TCAAACGTCTCTCACACTATGCAAAATTAGTTATTTAGTCTAGATACTTTCAGTAGGGTTGACCAGGATAATTTGCCCGCTTCGTCGCATCAAAATTTGATTTTCCTTCCTTGTAGATTAGTGTAGATTAGAGTAATTTAGAACCTGACGTTGTAAGAATATAAAAACATTCTAGAAAAATTTCCCATCGGTGAAAAGAAATAAGGATGGTAACAACCATTAGTTGATTCGTTGATTCATGTTCACAATGTCTTGAACATAAACAGAGTAAAACTTGGACAAAATCAATTTCAAAACAATACCATTCATCATCCAAAGTTTACTTACAAAGTTACAAGCAACCTTTATCTATCTTACAAATTCAAAAGCTCGGCATGAGCACAAAGTTCACCGTATTACCAGTGTCGCAACTCAAGAACAAATTGTAGTTTCATGCGAAACAAGTTTCAGTCTCAGCCCAGAATATATATCAGGATATCAAGGGGAGAGTGAAAAAAATTAGGAAGCAATGTCACAAAAAAATAAATTTTGTCACTGAGCGGGGAATGAGTAACTTCGGTTGGCTGGCTGTTAAGACAAATGAAGAAACAATTCCCATTTTATATGCTGCTGGTAGAACGTGATGAACGACTTCTGCCGCTTCGACGAGAATTATCCTTCCTTAACATGGCTTCAAGGTTTTGAAAGCATTTCAACGGTCTAACCTGTACATGTTATGTGGTGTTGGGGTGGGGAAGAGAGAAGGAAATATTCAGCTATGCAAGTAACTAGTCATGCAGGGACGTGTAAGTTAACAAAGCAATAGCAAACCACCAGAGAGAGAGGTCACCTTCCAACGCCTTTTATAACCAAGAGTGTTATACATAGATTCCAGCCTCAATATTATTTGCCTAAATGCTGGTCTTCTAGCTGGATTCTCGTTCCAGCACTGCTCAATCAACCTGTGAGCAGGCATCACATTAACAAGATTAGCTAAGTTTTTATGACCCTAATATACACAGGTTAAAATATAAGTTTTTCTGAAGAAAAGTGAATTCTGATTTGCATCCCAAAATCACTGGCTAAGAATTTGACAAATAAGCGGCAGTTGGTTACATTCCCAAGAGAAAGCACCAAAAGTCATGACAAAATCCCACAAGCATTCAACGTTTCCCAGGAAAGAAACTCAGAAATTGAAATTAATACACGATAAGTTGAAGAAGGTTGTTCTTAGAACCATATAGCACTTACTCTCTCAGACCATGTCTATAAAGCTTTTCTGGAGCTCTAAAAGGTGGGCGCTCTTTTGCAACATATGCTTCCGGAACCTCATTATCTTGCTTGGCAGCAAATGGTGGGCAGCCTTCTATCATCTACAATACAGCTCTTACAAAGTCACTAATAAACCAAATCAGGTGGTAATAACTTAGTATATCCATGATGCATTTGATATTATGCTCTTCCACAATAACTTACTACTAAAGACAAACATTTACTTAGACGAGGGGGTATGCACTATGATGGCATACAAACAACTTTATAAACACTGTTGGTCCAGATTTAAAAATGAATCATATTTACCTCTTGTAGAATTAGCGCAAAAGAGAATACATCCACTTTGGTATCATATTCTTCATTCTTGAAAACCTCAGGAGCTATGTATCGACCTTTCAATGACAATTAACACATTCCACTCAAAAACTATGTAAGCAAAGGAAACCCATGTATGAACTCAAAAATATAAAATCTTTTTTCAAGGAAACTACACGAACTATGAACATTTTTTGGCTAGGATCTATGCAACATATTAACCACAATGGTGTATTCCCAGAAAAACAATACTCACATGAAGCATCTTGACAAATCAAAGGCCTATCCTCTTTAACTGTCAGCAACTTGCTAACTCCAAAATCCGCAACTTTCAGGTGCCCGGAATCATCCCGCAATATATTCCTGTAATCTTACTCGTGAGCAACATAAAGTTAAAACGCCAAATTTTCCATGCTATTATGGGTAACAATGATTCATCTCTTTGGAATTTCAATGATAATATGAGCATATGCTTCAAGCAAAATGAGGACATGGGGGAGAGGAAGAGCACTTGGCATTTAAATTTAAATCACTTAAGTGCTCAGTGGAATGGGATTATTAGATTGTCATAGGTTTAATTCTTGCCAAGAAAAAGAGAAGGCCATTGAAGAAGAACAAGAAACATACGAAGGCTCAAGATCACGATGAATTATTGGTTCTGGCTTATTCTCATGCAAATAACTCATTCCTCTGCAAGATATCAAAAGATAAGTAGTGAGGAAATATCGAAGTACAATACATGATTTTGCTTTCACAACACGAATCAAGCAACCAACTTTTCAACATCGTAGCTTCTAATAATCGAGCATTCATTCAGTATATAGTCTCTCTTCATTTGTTAGCAAAGGAAATACAGAACGAGATAATAAAGCCAATTCAAACTAGTACCACACCTTGCAATATCAAGTGCAAATTTTACAGCTATGGTTGGTTTTAGTGCTCCTCTTCTTTTCAAAAATGCACGAAGGTCTCCCTGCAATAAAAAGACAGAAATAAAGATCTAAAGAAAACTCTAAATTTGCATTTGTTTTAATCTATAATTTGACTGTTCCCCTCTCCAATTTTTCTCTCCGCGCACCTCGGAGGAGGAATGCGAACTGAACAGAGTAAAAAGTTCTATGAGTACTATTATTTCACACAACTATGCCACTAACACTGTCATGCCTATTTGATTCTGCAATTTTCAATGGAAGCCTAAAACCAAATTTGAGGACTAACATATGCAAAAGAGGATAGCATTCTAACAGTAACAAATTCAACTTCACACTATAAGATTGGAACCTTAACTCTTACTAGTAAAGATTCTGAAATATACTCTTCGTACTATTTCGAAATACAGAAAAATAAGAACTCAGGAAATAACCGAAACTTATATAAACCATGGCATTAATATTCCACGTTAAAAAGACCAATGGAATGGGGAAATACCTTAGGCAAATATTCTGTTACAATCATCATTGGACTGCTTTGTGTCACTGCACCCAGAAATTGGACTACATTTGGATGTCGTATCCTTTGAAGCAATTCAAGCTCGTCCCTGAATGCCTTCCTGAAGAAAGACCAAATTGATTTATAATTTAAAAGACCATAAAGCTAGAAAGAATGAAGTGGAAAAACCATGAATAGTTTACGATCAACCCACACTTTATGCTCGTCAACAAGCACTTCCTCCGCAAGCATTTTCACAGCAACCTGTATTCCCCGCCAGGATGCGATACAGTATGTTCCCTGTGAAACAACGTACGAATGAACAGAACCAAATAAGGCGAGTAACAATACTGAGTAACAGCACTAAAAGAGGCACAACATCCAATTATACAACTAATCGAAAAATGCTTATGAAACACCCAAATTCATACAAAGATAAGGTGGTTCCAACTCCAAGAGGGGTAATTGATAACAGGGGAAACAAGAAATGGCAAATCCGTATACCGAAGTTATCGAAAAATGAAAATTTTACCTTGGTAATGTCAACACTGTTGGTAAAGTCCAGTTCTTTGGGATCAATTTCATACTCTGGGACTTCCCTGGCATGGTTAACGCGCATGGGAGCCATCTGAATGTTACATTCATACAAATTAGAATATAAAACAAGCATAATATGCAAAATTAAAACAAACCCAAATCATAAAACACATTGAGCTGAATTGGGTTTGTTTAATTTTCCAATATTAAAAGTTCAAATCAGCTAAATTAATCAAAAAAGTACCAGAGGCTTTGCCCCACGCTTCTCCAGAAGCCTGATCACATCATGGTTCTTATAGTAAATAGCATCTGCAAGAGGCTGTTTAATCAACGTTAGATTATTACTAATCCCTAATTAACACACACTAATTCTCCATTTTTCAATTTCACATTGGTAATCGGGGTTTTTTTTTTAATTATATAAAATTTTCACTTACGGTGCTCCCCCATCGGTCTTTTGGGTCAACGTCAGCTCCGCGGTCGAGCAGCAGCGAAACGACGTCGGTGAGCCCCTGACACGCGGCGACATGGAGAGCCGTCCGATCGTCGATGTCCCTGAAATTCACATCCACTCCGGAATCCAGAAGCTCCTTAATCCCATCCAAGTCAGCTTCATTGGCCAAATACATGAGCTTCACTCTGGGATCGATCCCCTCCGGATCATCCTCCTGCCCCTCCCCCACGCGCTCCTCCCGCTCAAGCTCCGGCGCCAGCGACGACTGCCTCCCCAGTGTGAATCTCAACGGCGTCGCCTTCAAGTCCATTGCCAGCTTCTCACACAAGCTGGAGTTTTGCTTTGCTGTAGTAGCAGCAGAAGTGCTTTTCTATACAGCAATTTGCTATATACGCGACGGATTTGTAGGAAAAGTGCTTTTGGTTCTAACGCTCGCGATTTTCTTTCATGCTTATATTTTCTGGTGGTGGGTTTCACGTGGGGCGAGCGCGTGGAGGGAAACTTCGACGTCACGACGAAGACGGTGCATGTTAAGAAGGGTTATTTAAAGTGAGCTGGGGTGTTAGGTGCGCCTCACCAACAAACTAGTCCATGGGACCATTGAGGTTGGCGATGCAGTGTGAACTGTCGAGTGTGCCGGACGGGAATACGAGGGGTTTTTTCCCCTTTTTCTGGGGGAGATCGTGAGGGAATATTAGGTTATTGAGGAGAGAGATTATTCAGCATGTCTATAACACCATTTGATATATTAAAATTTTTAACATATTATATTATTATATTTGGTGTACCAAACCGTCTTCCTAGTTCCTCACATATTAAAAAAAAAATTGTTATTACTTATTCACCCATAACACGGTTCTGAAGATTCGTTTAATAAATGTAAAACCACCACCCAAGCCCCTGTCTTGTGACCCCGACTAGTATAAATTTGTCTTTGGACCTGTTGTATAACGCAACCATTCAATTTGATAGGGATCTAAGCTGAAAGTCTCATAAAAAAAACACATAAAAAGGAACATATTAAAACCATAGTGGATTAGTGATCACCAAACCAAGCGTTTACTTAAAAAGCCCCATCCTCTGTGACAGCTTTAAGCCTTTGACAATTGACATTACAACAAAACCTCCAACTTGTTAATGTTTTTGATCAAGAGATGACAGGAACACTGAAACAGAACCTGATTACAAGCTTGATCATAAGCACGCAGTAAGAGAACTAATTCGATTCGAGGGTGCACTCAGCAATCTTCTCCCAGGACTTGAGAGTTATATCTTTGGGGTCGGTTTTGAACAACGCAAGGCGAGTAACGGGGAAGCTCAGGCCGGCAATGCTCTCGTCGAGAGTGTTAGCTTTTTCTTGCGCCTTCTTCTTCTCTTCGTCGGTCAGATCACCGTAGAGGATGCTCAAATGTGGCATATAAGCTGCAGGACAAATATAATACCAACCAGGAATCATCAATCCTAAACCAAGAACAGTACTTTCAGTTGATAAAAATAAGGCTTTTTAGCCTAGTCCTCGAGATTGACTCGTCACCATGGTTTTGAGATTTTAAATCGATAGAACTTTGTCCATCATCAATCATTTTGGTCATTCCGTAAAAAATCTCCGTTAAATAAGGAGTTATGACAACTTCAGTGACAAAGTGAAGAGTTATGCTAATAACAGAGACCATTTTGGACTAATACAATATCGGAGACCATTTTGGGCTTTTTTGAAAGATGCAAACTATCTTCTTTTAACAACCTGAAAGTTTGATAACTATTCTGTTTTTAGTTTTCACAGATAATACTGAGTAGCCACATTTATGCATCAATCGTTGTCTCGCCAATTGAAGGAGAACACCTACTATTGATCAAAAGCATAAAGATATCAAACTTAATCTTTAGAAACTTTAATTAACAGAAAAATAAAAATTAGCAGGAACCCACATCTACTTTCTCCTCCTCTCTCACTTGCTCCCAATCCAAATGAACAAATATAAAAATAAATCTTTTTCACAAGAAAAATAAATTAGTGCATTAGAACTTACGGGTTGAGCGTTTGAAACCGAAATGGCCAGAGCAGTGAGCACTAGCTTCCACCACCTGAGAAAATCAAACCCCAGAAACTAATTTTATTAATAACTCGTATTAAATTCCAATCAAATCCACAAAAAAAGGAAGAAATTGGAAAAAAATAAATAAATAATAATTACCTGAGGGGTCGGATTTATAAGGAGGGAAACACACTGGTAAAAGAAGGTGCCGGTGCCGGTGGCCACGCGATCAACCTTGGCGTCGTAGGCCTTGAGGCCCTCAGAAGCCGATCGGAACTTCGCGAGGGCGTCGTCCAGGGTCAGGCTGATAGCCCCCACCACAGTGATGTGGGGCTCGAACTGTGGACCACCGAACTCGGCACGGAGGCCCTGCATCAGCTTCTTCAGCCTGGGGGCCACGTCATCCGGCGGGAGGGCCCACACCGAGTAGACGTTCTTACTTCCGCCGCATAGATTGTTTGGTTTGCCATGGAAACTGAGGG